GGGGGCCCCGCCTCCCTGATGCGTCCCCCCACCCCCTCTCAGGTTTGAGGACCAGCTTCAGCGGTGGCTGTCGGAGGACATGGGGGCACACGCAGAGCCCCCCACCCTGCCCCTCTACCTGCCCCAGACGCTGGTGTTGCAGCCCCAGGTGCTGGGGCCCGGGGTGCGGGCAGTGGCCGCGAGCTGCCAGGTGCGCACTCGGCGGGAGGACGGGCAGGGGCGGGTACCCGCCAGCCTCGGGGCTCACGTGTGGCGTGGGGGTGGGCGGGCGCGCACCACGGCCCTGCGCCAGCCCGAGGGGACGGCCCGCGCTCGGAGAAAAGCAGGCCGGAGACCAGCGACGCGCATTCAGCCTGGCAGGTGCCCAGTGCCCCTGGCCTGGCCTGGCCCCGGCCCACAGCTCGGGCCTAGGTGACCGCTGATCCTGAAGGCCCACGTGCCCTCGCTCCCCGCAGCGGCCATGTGGGACACGCGGCGGACAGCCTCCTGGCTGGCGGCGCCGGCATGTCGGGCCCTGGTGGCCGGGCAGCAGGTGCCACGGACATCGCCCGCCCCGTGTCGGGCCGTGTGCCAGCAGTCGCCCCCTGCAGACGGAGCCAGAGCGCCCGGCCCGCTGCTGTTCAAGGCGCCGTCTGGCGCAGGTGCCCAGAGCTGTCTCTGTGCCAGCAGCGTGGCCGCCTGGGGGAGCCGCCGCCCCCGCCGGCCATGGGCGCCTCCCTGACCGAGCGGCTGGAGCACCTGGAGCGGCTCATCCGGAGCTCACGGGAGGAGAGCGCGGCCTCCGAGCTGCACCTGTCTGCGCTGCTGGACATGGTGGACATCTGAGCCCGCCGGGCGGCGCCCCTGCCCTCCTCGGAATGAAGCTGCCTCTGATGCCAGAGCCGCTCGGCGCAGCGTCAATCATGCAAATAAACGCCGCGTGCGCAGAGGCCCGTCTCCTGCCGTGTCCGATCCCCCCTGCTGCTGGCCCCATGGTCGGTCACCGGCTGCCGCCCCAGACCTGGGCGGCTGTGTCTCTGCGGGGCAGGTACACTGGGGAGGGGCAGAGCGGCCGGGGGTGCACCCCGGAGGGCACCTGGGAGTCACCCGAGGCCTGGGCAGTGTCTGAGACAAAGTGCTGGGGATGGGCCCCAGGGGGTGCTGTGGAGGGGGTGCGGTGCTCCTGTGGGGGCCCAGGTGTTGACCCCAGGGGTCCCCCAGGTGACACTCCGGGCCCTGAGCCGCTTTCCCAGCCAGAGTTCCTAGGGACCCCACCCCGCCTGGCGAGGGTCCCTGGCGGTCCCCTGTCCCTTGGGCGGGACTGCCCTGGGCTGGTGACCCCGCTGTGACGGTCCTCGCCTGTACTTCACGGGAGGAGGGGCTGGGTGGCAGTGGGAAGCTCCAGGGTGCTGGGCAGGCCTTTGGGGTGCGAGCCAAGGACCTGCCTCGTCACTGTCGGCAGGAAGCGCACCTGCGCGCCGCCCC